GTATTCTCACCGGATCTTTGCCCATAACTGCACAAGTTCGACATTTCTTGACCACGTCTTCTACCGCTCTATCTATGCCCGGGAACCATATCTTGGTTCGGGCCAAACTAATCATTCTGTTCCGTCCATAGTGACTACTATGTAACATCCTCAGCACTGTTTGCTGAAATTTCTTGGGGATAACTACCCTATATCCCCACAGTATGCAACCATTATGCACTGTCAGTGCGGTCTTCTTCACCGCATACGGCTTTAACCTGTCATCTGTGACTTTTTCCGGCCAACCTTTCCGAATATAATTTATCACCAAATGCAACAGAGGATCTGCCTTTGTAGCCTTAGCTATCTCAGTTTCTGTTACAGGCAGGTTTTCCTATCGTTTCCACCGCCATAATCTCTTCCTGCACTTCATTGACTACCATTTCTGCACTAGGCAATTCTCTCGGGTCAGGCAACCTAGATAATCCGTCTGCGTTGCCGAACTCTGTAGTCTTCCTATACTCTATCTCGAAAGAGTATAACATGAGTCTCAATGCCCATCTATGCAGCCTTTTCGCTGCTATCACTGGTAGACCCTGTTTGGGGCCAAAAATCCTCACTAACGGCTGGTGATCGGTTAACAGCGTAAACCGTCGACCGTAAAGGAACTGATTAAATTTTTCAACTCCATATACTATTCCCTAACGCCTCCTTTTCTATTTGGGCGTAATTCGTTCCTGTTTCGTCAAGGAACGTGATGCATACGCGATTACTTTCTCGGTTGCATCATCATATCTATGGTATAATACTGCTCCTATACCATATTCTGAGGCATCGGTAGCTAATACCGGAACATCGGATTATAATGCGCTAATGTCTCCGTTGCTGTAAGCTTTTCACGTATCCTTGTGAAAGCTTTTTTCTCTTCGGCACCCCATTTCCACGGTGCACCTTTCCTGCGCAGACTGTTCAACGGCGCCGCCAACGTAGCTAATCGAGGGATAAATTTCCCATAGTACTGTATCATGCCTAGGTAAGACTCCAAGCTCTTTTATATTCCTAGGTTCTGGCATGTTTAGTATCGCCTTTTAGTTTGCCAGGAGATGGCCTAATGCCTTTTCATCGACCACGTGGCCTAAAAACTCCATCTCCTCCTTGAAAAACTCGCATTTTTCCCTTTTGAGGCGAAATCCTGCCTCATTTAATCTATTCAAGACTTTTTCTAGTCTTTCCAAATGCGTCTTGTCATCTGGACCTGTAACTGTAATATCGTCCAGATAAATCAGCACCCCTTCGATTCCTACCAGCGTCTCCTCCATTATCCGCTGGAATATTGCTGGTGCTGACGCAATTCCAAAAGGGATTCGCGTATACTCAAATAATCCCTTATGCGTATTGATCGTCGTATACTTCCTCGAGCTCTCTCCAGCTCCACTTGCATATAAGCATCTGAAAGATCAACTTTCGAGAACTTCTTGCCGCCGTGCAACATGTGAAACAAATCATCTGGCTTAGGCAATGGGTACTGATTGATATCTAGTTGCGGGTTTACTGTGACCTTATAATCGCCACAAATCCTTATTTTCCCGCCTGGTTTGGGCACAACTACTAGCGGCGTGGCCCACTTGCTATGCTCTACCCTCTTTATGGTTCCGTTCCGAACCATTTCTTCCAACTTAGCCTCAACTTTGGGCCTCAACGCAATGGGATATTGGCCTAGCTCTGAAGAACTTAGGCACTACTACATCATTTTTGAACTTCAACTGAGCTCGTGTAGTCGTGCACCTGCCCAAACCATCTTGAAACAACTTCTTGTTGTTGTCCAGTATACGCACAATTTCTCTTTTGATCTGTACATTGGACATTTGTTCGACCTTGTGTACCATCCCATAATGTGGTCCACAATCTATCTGCAATTCTCTTATCATGTCTCGTCCACATAAGGAGTGCGTCGCCTCCTTAAAGACATGAACATCCACTATCGCCTCTTTCCCGGCGAACTTAACGTTTAGTGGGACTCTTCCTTGGACTTAATAGGATTATTATCAAATGCCGTCGCAGCCACCGCAGCCTTGTTCAACTGTGGCCGGCCTAGCTTATTCCATGTCTTCTCATCGATGATGGAAAGTGATGCACCGGTATCTAGTTCGAATTGAATCTTCTTCCCATTCACTTCCATCTCCAGCATTCTCGGTGGCTCCCCCGTCGACTGGTCTACTTCAACATCTCCGACCGTATCAGCGGCTATCACCTCTCTATCCAGGCACTCCTCATTTTTAGTGCCTGTCTTACTGCGTGCGGTGATGCTGCCGTCTTCAGTTTCCAGGCTATCCTGCTCTCGCCTCGCACTGCTCCGCATCAATTTCCGCGGCTCAGCTCTACGACAGTTGGTAAGTCGTGACACAACTACCTTGTTCACGCTCTGAATCACTAGTTCCTCTCCACTGTCGGAGCTTCCAGCGGGCTCCTCACACCAGTGTATTTGGCGGGAGACTTTCTGGCCAACCCTGGCGTTCTTCCAGCACGTCACTGCCAGGTGGCCTCTCTTCTGCATACATTGCAGTATGCCTTCTCTTTCCTGAAACACTCGTAACCGGCATGGCCAAGCGCTCCGCAAACCCTGCATCTCATACTTTTCCGAGCTGGGCCCTTGCTCGGCCTTCCCTTTTGTTCCTTCGTTTGCGCGCGCCATGGCACCTGCAGATTACGCTCATCTTTCCGGGTTCTTACCTGACCTACTCCCACCAGCTGGGCTTGCGGCGGGCCTTCCTTCAGGTGTGTGGAACGTTCACTCCTACAAGTCTTCCGCCTGCTCCAGAGCCTCTCTTGAGGATAGCTGTTCCTTCTCTAGAAGGCGCTTCCTCGTTTCTACAGAAAGCAACCCACCGATAAACACCATCGTCACTACTGCGCATCCCGATGATCCTTGATTTCTCCAAAGCAGCATGTATTCGCTGCTTTCTGCAGATCCGCGTAGTACTCATGCAGCGCCTGTCCTTGCTTAATGCGTCTTCGACATCAGCCCGAAACTTCTGCCAATACCAGCTTTTTCGGCTGGTAAGTGCTGCTCCATTGCTGCCCGAAGATCCTTCAACGCGACTTACTTCCAATTCGCGTCCCTGCAGGAGTGATTCCAGTAACTCGTAATTCGAGTTACCCACTTCCTGCAGGAATATCAGCCGCTGATCCCTTTCCTCCCGTTACCTTCCCCAACACCCATGCCTCAACACGAAAGAAGCTTCTAGTGAACACAGCTTCCAACCAGGTCTGCCACGATCGTCTCCTGGCACAAAGGGCCCCCGGGGGCTCGACCTCGGTACACATCAGTACCGGGATCTCCCATCGTGGCTCTTCCCAGTGGCACTGGTCCCTGCTTCCATCTTGACTCCTTGTCCTTGTCCTTGTCCTTGTCCAGCTTCCAGAGTCGTCATCCTGTTCGCCTGATCGCCAGTTGGTGTGCTTCTGTGTTCCACAAGATCCAGGAGAGGAATGCTTTATTGCAACCGCTAACCACTTTTATACTCTCACTCAATCTATCACTTCCTCTCTCTTTGATCTCTTCTCATTCTTCACATACGCACGCACACCCCCCTACACCGACGGATTCTTTTCGTTTTTTCTTCACTGTCGGCCCATTTCGCACCAATACCTTCGCGCTCGTGTGCCAGAGCTACACCAATGTGATCCTGGGGCATGCCTTTAACACACTGCTTACCGCGTGCGCCGCCATGTGGCGCACGATTTTACACAGAAGAGCTGGCTTTTACCTAATTATTTGACATTTTTCAATGCTCCCAAACTGCACTCATTTCAAGAGACGGAAAACAAGATAAAATTCACAGATAAAATTGTTGGTGGATTAATAAAAAAGAACATAGAAAGGATATGGAGGTACCCGCAATGTGGTCCGCAATGTGTTAATGAGAGATTAAACAGTGTCATTATGTAGGATATATACAACTCATACTCTCATTCAAAAAATGAGAAGAGCGTCGGGTGCAGACCATACACCACAAGTGACGACGGCCTCCACAAAATGTAAATGTTTTCTGCCAATGAAATGATTAGCCTGTTGCAGTTGTATTCTATCAGTTGTCACTAATTACAACTATCATTTACCAAAATCAGCTATCACTATGAACCACTACTAACCAGATTTACTTAGGCCGTCGTCACTTGTGGTGTATGGTCTGCACCCGACGCTCTTCTCGTTTTTTGAAAGGGAAGGTAAGTGCGTTGGCTAATCAGAAGACAAAGCAGATTAATGAGAACGAAATCGGTTTTTCATGTATTGAGGCGAGTTGCATAACAGAAAGGAACCGACATTCCTACGTACCAACGTGCCCGTATCTATGATACCTATTCTTCTGGGCTCACAACTATTTTCTTTCAAAGAACATCCAGCTCATTCTGGCCTAAATATAATAGAATTGGGCCGGGGTCTTATTCGGTAAGGGAGGGGCATATACACTGCGTTCAATAATGATACAGCCACCTAAAATTTGTTCGAAAACTTAAAGTTTATAGAGTTTCTGAAAAACTGTCCAGATAGAAAATGTGACAAATTTCATGGCGCGTTCAGATTTTTAACGACACAATGTCTTGGTCCTCATAATTTTGGACCACCCTGTAGATATCGATTGGGGAAGTAATAGAAGACCAAGAGAGCAGAAGCTCACGAGATTGTCCGAAAAGATTAGACACGTCTCGATCGAGAGAAAAGGAGAATGGAAAACCAAGAGACATGCTATTCTCCTAGTCTCCAGTTCGCTATTTCTCTAAACGCTAAGCATGAATGCGACCTAAGAGGTTGCTGCGAAATGCGTCGTCAGCACGATAGTTAGTGTTTCAGTGCTTTCGTAATTTTTTTTTAAATTTAGGAAGTTGATGGATTTTTGATTACTACTATAAATGTTGGGATATTATTGAATGCATAAGTCTGATTAGTTCATGGCGGCCACCGCACTTGATAGAAGTTGCGGGGATGAGGTGCTTCCAGCACGCTGTGTTGATATCCACCGGACTCTGTTAGAAAGAGCTTATCCACATGACTTCTATCAAGTGCGGCAACGGCCATAAACACGCCTAATGGAGTGTTCAGAGTTGGCGATCGTACGTGCGATTAGGCGATTAGGCGATTGGGCGATTAGTCTATAATGAAAAATATACGTATAGATTAGGCGATTAGGCGAGTAGGCGATAGGCGGGAAGACAACATACGTATTGATTGGTTGCTCCGCCCATAGAACGTTGTAGGCGAGTAGGCGATTAGGCGATCGCTGGGCGGAGCAGCAAATCATATTTATCCTTCTTTCATCGCCTACTCGCCTTATCGACACGTCAACCGTTACGTTGGACTAATCGCCTAATCGCCTAATCGCAACGTACGAATCGCTCAACTATGAAACTCCATAACCAAGTTGGCGGTCACGATTGCACCATGTCGTGGTTCGGGAGCGGTTGCCCTCCTAACCCTCCAACACGACGCATCGAGGTGGTTCGGGGCCCCCGTGGCCTTTCCCAGGCACACGTCGTTCTACGGGTCCTTCCCGGGGATCATGCGGTTTCCCGCACGCATGACCTCCGCACCCCGGGGCCTTACAGGGTTCCTAACCCAGGAACGGGGGGTTACAGGGCCATGCCCCGCGGTAACAACCCCTTGATGCACGCAGCACATGATGACCTATTGCGCCTTAACCGGGCCCCAGCCCTGGCGCTCCCCCAAGCTTACCCGTGCTGCTATACTTGTACACAACACTACACATCTTGGACTCATAGTTTATTGGCGATAACGTCCTTTACGCACTACAACTTAACTTCCTGCCGAGCGTGGAGAAGCCCGGCCAACGCTTGTAGTGTCTGCAGCCAATAGCGGTAACTGCGGTAACATCGGCCTGCAGCCGATAGTGTCCCTCGGGTGTAGCGGGACACTAACTTACCAGCGCTCCGAGCGAACGGGACAGCATGCCCGAACATGCTGACGGGTGCTAGCAGGCACCCCTAGCCGTTCGCCTTCCTCGCGTTGCCCGACGACCGTCTCTCCCGGAGGAGACGAAGAGCGCCGACTGGCAGAGGCGACCCTTTATATAGGCCTCGGCTGGAGGCGTGGCCGGAGGCGGAGCACGCGCCTCTCGCCGGTGCGTGCGCCGCCAAGCGACCAACGGCGCGACAGGGGGCCGGGCGCGCGGTGCGCCCACGACCGTCGTCGCGTCGCGAACCGCGACACACAAGAGCGCAAAAGAAAATTTGAATCAGAGCATTCTGTCGTTGTGTTGTTTGATGATAATGGTACGATAGGCCTTGTAGGAGAGCCCATGCTTGAAATGCGGTCGCAGCAACTTCTGTGAGCGAGATAACAGGCTCCCCAAGCATATGAGTGGTGGCACTATCGCGACTTGGAGGTGCGCGAACATAAGCTGCTGACCAGGGAGACCTTCCAGGTGGTGCTCCAATATTTTCTAGAAGTGAATTCTCGCATGATGTCGGGCGCATAGAGCAGAAAACTTTGATCCACTTTTGCTGAGCAGCTCCATGAATGTCAATGTTCAAAGGGTTGGAGGAAGCTTTTTGCGCACATCGTTCGAAACAATAGTTTTGGTGAAAGATTGTTAAACGATGGTAAAAATATTATTTACGACTCATAAGGGTGTCTGATGGTCGTAATCGTAAATATGACATGCATCTCCTGGCGCGGGTATCATGTTGCAACATGCAAGCGCAATCGAAACTAAATTTTGTCATCGCCGACTCGATCCTGACCATTTTTGTGCGATCCCTAGAGGCGAGAAAATGAATGCCCGTTCGTGATCCATCGGCACATACGCACATATAGCCTAAAAAATCTGATTGTAAAAAGCGACCTAAAGATCTTTCGATAATATCTTCCAGACGGTGCGAACCGTTTCCATTTTTACTTCGCTTAACGGCACTTACGCGTAACTACCCTCTCGTACGACAAGCTCTCGCATACTTCTCTCTTCGTCACGCTGTTTTATCGAAACACAATCGACCTCAAAAGAAAGGCAGGTCCTTAAAGCAACTATTCCAGATGGAATTTGTGAGGTAACAGCGGTTGATAATGACGGTAGGTGTCTAGACGAGGTTGGAAGCGCCACCGCATTGCGATGAGCTAACCATACTCCACTTAAACATAATCGCTATCTTAGTCGCACTGTCGGCCTTAATCCACGTACGCAGGTAAGTTTTCCCGCCCGTAATTGACGTTAGTCACCAATCAGATCACTCTGTAAGGCCCCTACGCGGGCCATTTTTAACAAGGCATCTCTAACCCGCCAGACAACGGCAACACCGTCTACGTCTCGTGCTATCGTCCCTCTACAGACTAAGTTCCCCGCACAC